GGATGAAGGACCCCGACACTCCTGGCTTTGGTCTTGGTTGCTTTCTTTAAGAGTATGGGGTTTCCTCCTGGAGGCCTCATGCTGTTACTTGAAATAGTCCTGGAGACACTCGGCCAGAAACCACCAGATCAACAACACAGTAAACCTTCCAGCTGCTCCCACGTTCCCTCCCCTGACTTGGAGGCTGGGAAGTCAACTGTTCTGGCTCATAAAACACTTTCGGAGCACACAGGATCTCAGACCTCCTTCGGGTGACTGGCGGAGCAGGGCAGCAGGTGCCAGCCCGCACCCAGCTGCTGTGCCTGCCGCTTAGATGCGGTGGCGTTCTCTGATGCAGAGGAAGAGATGGCATTTCATGGCAGGGGGGCCCCAGGCAACAGACAGGGTCCCCCTATGAAGATGCAGAGGGCCAGGAAGCTTAAGGCTTCGAGCTTCCATTATAGAGGCTCCGTCTCAGCAGGCTGGGTGCTTGCTCATTTTAATTGGCACCACCAACAATCTGGTTGCATCCGGCACTCTGCCCTATAAAAGCCAGAGGAATGACTCCGGCAGAGCCAGGTGGCCAGGCAAACTGGGAGGTTGTGGAAACTTAATTGTTCTTGGTTTCCGACTGCTACATTGCCTCGGTGTCCCTGTGTGGTAGTAGCCTCCTGCTGGGTTGGGAGTGAGGCAATAGGGATTTGCGGCTCATCCTGAGTTCAAGGCTCCTGCTCACTGCAGATGTTCACCTAGGTCATGACTGGCCACGCACAGACCATGTGATCTGCAGCATTTACCAACTCCCCCCCCCCCGCCCCCGCCACCAGCCTGGGGGAATGTAAGGTCTCTGACATACAGCAAGGATGCTGCAGCTTGGAGAAGCTAGGAATGTGAAGCTAGGACTGAAAGTCTGAGGCTTGACTCCAGAACCCACACTGGGTGTCCTTCCCTCTGGGATAGGCATGCTGGAATGTTTGGTACCACACAGAGCTCCAGAGGGAGACTGCTACAAGGAGGAACTGTTGAGCTGATCCCTCCCAGCTGCCCTTGGCCACATCTGCCTGAGGCCAGCAGCTCTGGTCACCCAGATGGTGCCTAGTGCCAGCTGGCTCAGGCTATATGAAGTTTCTAGAAAAGGAGCCAGGGTGTCACACACAGGTCCCTGTGGGGACAGTGGCCTTCCCTATAGAGGTGGCACTGTGTCCTAGGCCTGAGCATTAAGTCTCTCTGCTCTGTCCCCTTACACCCATCCCTCACCAGCTTGTCACCTGAAAACCATAATAATGCCATACCAAAGTAGCCAGGACAGCGGGGCACAACCATCTTCATGTCCCCGAACTGTTCCTCACCAGAAAACGCATGTGTGAGCTTAAAGGCACGGGAGAGGCCAAATCCTAGTGGAACTGCCAGGATGCACCAGGAGCAACCACTAGATGGACAGCTATGCACACGCAGCCCAGACCACTGCCCAGCATGTGCACAGAGTGTTGCTCTCTCCAGCCGCCTTGCAACCAGAGAGACCCAGCCTCCCACCTCAAAGAAACAATAAAGAAAGAAATTCCTGGGGCTGTGCAGATGGGACAGCAGCTAAAGGCACCTGCGACCAAGTCTAATGACCTGGGGTGCACAGAGTGGAGAGAACTAAAGCCTGCCAGTTATCCTCTGACCTCCACACGTGTGCCACAGCACATGCATGTGCACACGCACGCGCACATACACGCACACACATACACGCACACATGCTAAACAGATTATAAAAACAAATCTCTATGTTGAAGTGCTGACCTTAGAGCCTAGGAATAGGAGTATGCTTCAAGATGGCATCTTTAGAGGTAAATGGGGTAAGATGAGGCCTTGAGTGTGAACCACAGTTGTGAGGAGACAGTAAGACAGCTGGCCTGCTGACTGCACCCTGCCTGCCCTGGGTACCCCAGGGTCTACTACAACTGTAGACAGGGGCCTGGGGCTTCCAGAACTGAGGTCTTTACTGGAAGAGAGGAGAGGAGAGGAGAGGAGAGGAGAGGAGAGGAGAGGAGAGGAGAGGAGAGGAGAGGAGAGGAGAGGAGAGGAGAGGAGAGGAGAGGAGAGGAGAGGAGAGGAGAGGAGAGGAGAGGAGAGGAGAGGAGAGAGCTCTGTCCCTGGTTCTAGAGCAAAGGCAGGCAGAATGTCACTCACATCTGACAAGGGCCTTTTGTCAGTCATTCCTGCCAGCTTCCAGGCTCCAGAGACCTAGCTAGGATCATTTCTGCAGTGGCCTGAGATGTCCCTGAACCTTCAGGCCCTAAGCTAAGGTGACAGATGACTCAGTAATTACCACTGGTGGCTATCTCCCTGCCCACAGCAAGAAAGCGAATCATTAAATCTCTCTAAGGGGACTTTGAAGATCTCCCAGGACTGTGTGAGCAGGAAGTTCTCAGCTTAAACTGGAATCCTTGGGCAAACAGCAGGACCAGGAAGGTCTTCCAGACAGACTGCCTGACCAAAACTCAGGCTCAAAATAGCACTGGAGACTCACTGGACTGAAGGCAGAGTGACGCCATGGGCTAGCCCAGGAAGCAGGACCAGTCAGGAAAGGAGGCCTAGGATACTGAGCAAAACCAGGGCTCTACCTTGTAGAGATGGGACAGTCCCCAAACAGCTTTAGGATTGACGGGTGTGTGTGAGTGTGTGTGTGGAGGGTAGGGGGTGCTGTAAGGTTGGGTGTGGTTCGTGTTGACAGCTCAGAGACAGTAGGGGAATCTCAGGACAATGTGAAAATCTAAACGAGATAGAGCAAGGCCTGGGCAAATTAATTAACAGCCCGTCAGTCCATCCCAGCGGGTTAGTTTTCATCAACTTAAGATAACTTGTGTCCTTTTAAGAGGGGCTCACTGAGAAGACGCTGTCTGTCAGACTGGCCTCTGGGCAAGCCTGCACTGCATTTTATTGGCTGATGACTGATACGGGAGGGCCTAGCGCACTGTAGGAGGTGCCACCCCTGGACTTGGTCGGGATGCTATACCAGAACGGACTGAGCAATTGTGAGGAAAAGCTAGCAAGCGGCACTCCTCCATGGCCTCTGCATCAGCGCCTGCCTCAGGTTCCCGCCTTAAGTTTCTCTGATGATGGGGGCATCACCTGGAAGTATGAGAAGTAAACCTTGTCCACCCCAGCTGCTTCTGGTTATGGTGTTTTTAGTCTTACTCTCTCACGGGCCCACTTCCTCCTCAAGCCTCAGGTGCAGAACTGGGTCGCTCTCTTCACCTTCCAGGGTGGGAGAGCAGGACCCTGCGTCCAGCTTGGGCACTCTGGAGGGATCTAAGAGCATGAAGACAGCCAAGGTTTCCATTAGAAGGGAGCCTGCCTCTCGGCAGGCACAAGCCCACATCCTGAGCAAGTCAGCCACCTCTACAGCATTCTCTCTCTCTCTCTCTCTCTCTCTCTCTCTCTCTCTCTCTCTCTCTCTCTCTCTCTCTCTCTCTCTCTCTCTCTCTCTCTCTCTCTCTCTCTCTCTCTCTCTCTCTCTCTCTCTCTCTCTCTCTCTCTCTCTCTCTCTCTCGCAACAGTGGTATAGGAAGAACAACCAGACAGGGCTCTCATAGGCTGTGTGACCCCAGGCCAAGTTAGCTGACCTCTCCCAGGCCCTTTCCTCCTCTATAAAATGCAGGGAGCAATAACATCTCTGTTTTATGGTCACATGACAAGCCTAGCATGTGCCGGACCTGTGTTAAATCCTCAGGACAGCAAATAAATGAACTCAAATTAAAATATCAGCCAACCCTCAGGGCCTCCACCCACTTGCATGTGTGCATGCATGCATGAATGCGTGAAGAACTGGTGAGGAATGGAGGTGGGGGAAGAAGGAGGAGCCAGGGGGGGGAGGAAGAAAAAGAGGAAGAAGGGAAAGACACTTCAGTCAGACAGGCCTGAGTTCAAACCTTTCCTTACTCACTAGCTGGCTGTGTGGCCTTGGGAAACTTACTCAACCTCTCTGATTCTCATTTTCCTCCTTTGTAAAATTAAATATATATATATATAGCGCCTTCCTTGAAGGAGCTCTAAAAAAGAGAGCAGGTTAAGACCAGGAGTCAGAGCCAGTCCTGCATGGCTCTTCGGGGGAAAATCAGGCTGCTCGACCACTCAGGACTGTGACAGTGAGCATGATGAGGTGACAAGGTGGTTTGTAGGGCATCCGCACCCCCAGCACCCTCAACCTGAAACACTGCTCTCCTTCATCCCTCCCCAAGGAGCCGAGAGAGCCCCAAAGCCCAACTGTGTTCTCTTTGGACGGAGATGGGGGTGCCAGGCTCGGTGCCGTCTGGTCCATGATGTCATCCCCTGTGGGTGTAAGTGTGGTACCCTTGATCTTCCACCCTGGCAGGCTGCCTGCACTCAACAGGGAGCCCTGCAGCCCTGTTCGCTGTCTGAGGACCCTCTACAAAGGCAAGTTATTTTCAGCCTCCCCTGAGCCCTTGTCCTGAGTGAACGGAGCCATGGTTTCGGGATGTGGACCAGGAAGGGTTTTAAGGCCTCTCCCTCTGCCAGAAAGACACTTAGAGTCGGCAACACGGACAGCGCATCCCCTCTCTCGGGGTTACTTTGTACCAGCTTTCGATTCCCAGAAAAGACTGTGTGAAACCCCGAAGCCCTAATCAGTGCAACACAAGGCCACCCTCTGCCCCATTTTGAGATGGCAGATAAATGCAGGGTAGACGGCAGGTGAGCTCAGCCCCCCTACCAATTCCACGGGGATATTTTTATTAACAATGAATGAAGCAGAGAAGAGAGGCTTGCCTGAGGTCCCCTAGCAGCAGGGACAAAGCCAAGTATGTCAGGAGGGAGAGAGGGCTCCTGGAGGAACACTGGACCCTAGGACACTGCAAGGCTGGGCTCACACCCACAGTCTCCTAGGAGCAAAGTCCTTGCCACACTTGAGATGACTGACAGGGACTCTGCTTCCTCTTAGAGACTGGAGCCCACCTGTCTCACTCCCCGCGCAGACGTGGTACGGGCCCCACCCACCCACCTGCCCCCCAGCTTACTTTTGCTGGGCAGCTCCTCTTGGGCCAGGCCGTTGGAAGGAGCCAGTGGGGCACTCTCACCCTCGTCCAAGGTCAGGATGAGCGGCACATCGTCATCTAAGCTCACGGCCATGTTCCCCGGTCCTGCAGTCTTCAGGATGCGATGGCCAGGGCTTTTAAGGGTCTCCGGCTTGAGCTCCTGTTCAAAGCCACGGGGCCAGGGATGCTTCTCTGCTCCATCAGATGCATCTTCTAGGGTTGGAAGGATAAAAAAAAAAAAAAAAAAAAAAAGGTAATGATTAAAACATAGTCTTTCCTGATGTGTTCTGGAGTCGGGGGCAGTGACAGCTGGGCAACCAGAGGCCAGGCTAAAAACCCTGAATTTTGGCTTTTGTCACAGTAACCCACAGTATACAAACTGCACCTTGAGAGTCTCATGTAGCCCAAGTTGGTTTCTAGCTTGCTGTAAAGTGGAGAATGACTTTGAGCGTCTGATCTTCCTGCCTCCACTGGGATTACAAATGTGTACCACAAATGGTTTAGAGAACTGGGGACTGAAACCAGGGCTGTGTGTTGTGCATGCTAGACACCGGGCTATCGGCTGAGCCACAGCCCACACCACCACTGTATTTCAACCTAAGAACTAGGATTCCAACACCCGGGAGGCTGAAGCAGGAGGATAACAGAGTTCAAGGCCAGGTTGGACTAAATAGCAAGAGTCTATCTTAAAAGACAGTGTGTCGGGAAGTGGTAGTGCACCTTTAGTCCCAGCACTCAGGAGGCAGAGGCAGGCGGATCTCTGTGGGCTTGAGGCCAGCAGTCTTCACAGAGTTCAGACTGCCAGAACTACACAGTGAGACCACTCTTAAAAGAAGGAGGCATGGGGGAGGGGCTGGAGAGAGGGCTCAACAGTTAAAGAGCATTTGCTGTTCTTGCAGAGGACTCTGTTGTTGTTGTTGTTTTTGGTTCCCAGCACCTATACAGTGGCTCACCACCATCTTTAACTCCAGTTTCGGGGGCCCCAACACCCTCTTCTGACCTCCTTGGGCTCCAGGCACACATGTGGTACATATATACACACGTGCAGGTAAAACACTCATACATATCGAATTTTAAAATAATAATACACATATAAATAAAATACAGGGAAGGTTCCTATGAGAACAGACGCTGACAAGTCAGGGTAACCAAGTCTAGAGAGTAGAGACTGGGGCCGGCATGATCAACACTACCCTTTGTGCTTTGTAAGGACTGTAAAGGGAAATCAATTTGTAATGATTATAGGAAGAACAGTTCATCCTCAAAGAATACTCAAACTATGCCAGAGACCCTACTAGCAATTTCTAACTGGGCGACCGAAAGCTCACTAGTAGCCCCACACATCAGACAGGGACCTTAGATAATTTGCCCGAGAGCCCACAGTCAGAAAGCCAAGCTGTGTCTTGCCCACATCCTATCCTTAGCCATTAAACCCACCACCTACGGCGTCTTCCAAGTCCCCAGGTCCTGCCCTCGGACGACAGTAATAAAAAGTGAGTGTGTCCGGCTCTCCAAGCTTGCTCCGGTCTCTCTTTTTATGTTTGTGAACAATTTCCACTCTAGCTTTGTTAAGCGCCTTCTGGGGAACACACAAGATCATCCTGGTTTTGCTGGTGGCCAACACCCATTGTTCTTGTACGGACCTCCTCGATGGACGAAAAAGGGACACGAGCATTTGTACAACTGGTAACCGGCGTCCTTTCCCAAGGACCCATCCTTTACAGCCTCTGGGTTGACAGCTCTCAGAACTGGTGTGCTGGGGTGGCTGTTAACACCACCCCACCTCTGCCCACTGAAAAGCAGAGCTCAGCAGATCTGCTGGGAGACCTTTGAACTTGGAAACAGCAGCAGGCTGAGGCCACCAGCTGTGGCCTGTGCACAGGATGGATCCTGCCTTCACACCAACCGATGGCAGGCCAACTGAGCAATGCCTCCTTTCGGGGGGGGGGGGGATCAGGGGAGCATCCACAGACACAAACAGCAGGTTTCTTTCAACCGAGATAAACACGACACCCACACTGCAGCCAGCTAAGCACGCAACTAACTCTCTGCTCAGCAAACTTCCCAGGAGTGGAGTCTGATTTGTTTTGTTTCCTTTTCCTCCACCCTTGGGGATTTATTTTGCTTTGAGATCTCAACAAGGGCAGAGACAGAAGGGAAACTACCACAAGATACAATTGTTTGGCTGTCTAAAAGAACTGTGCTGTGTTTTGAACTCTGGCTTAACTTTCTCTTCCTCCAGTGCCTTATACTGGTTGAGCTCACCCATCTAACACACTCCACGGTAGAGGGATTAGGTAACCACACTTCCTTGACACCACGAGAAGGCTCTGACAGAGCACTCTCTCCTATTTCTTTGGAAGGCAAGAAACTCTCCCCACTCATAACAGGTTCCTCATTTTTGTCACCAGCGTCCTCCTAGCTAGTAGGTTTTCCACTTTAACTGCTGCACATGACTCCATTCTCGCCATTCCTCGGTGGCTCTCGCCTGGTGTGACTCTGTCCCGACTGTCTACAAATATTTCCGGCGTCACAACTTGGGAATGATCTCGAGGGAGCCCAAAGAGGCCACTAATATCTACAGTGCACAGCTGAGACCCCACCCACAGGAAACAACCTCCTGGCTCCGTCTCAACAGCTCTGCCCTCGGTAGAGCCTGGGTGAGCAAGCGTCCCACTTTCTAGAAGAGGCCCACAAGTTCCATCCTGCCGACTGGAAAGCAGGTGGCACAGACAGAGGCATTTCCCACTTTATTCCTAGAAACTGCACGCCACTGAAGTGAAATCCACCAGTTCCTTTCTTGTTTTTGTCTTCTGAAACAGGGATATCCCTGTCCAGTCTCAGAGAGCCCTGAAGTTGCCATCCTTCTCCCACGGAGCCTACGACTTTCCAAAGAGAAAGAAATGAGGCCCAGAAAGAAGTAAACTGCCCAAGGTCACACGGCAGACTCAGAGACAGAACTCGGGGCTCCTCCGGTCCTGCTCTTCGGCAGACTTAGGCTCTCACTCTAGAGAGGACCCAGAGGGTCACCCCTGGGGAAAGGTCACTCCTGAAGGAAGGTCCCGGGATCAGAGTTAGCTGCCATCCCGCTATCTGTCCCCAGAGTCAGGTTGACCCAAGCAGGAGTCCTCGGCCGGGTCACAAGAGGTCTCAGCCGGGAGGTGAGCGGGAAGGGATGAGAAAGGGAGGAGGGTCGTGCGGGGGCGCCTGTTCCCCGCGCTCCACGGGTCGCCCCAGGAAGTCAAGGCAAAGAAAAAGGTGCAGAAAGAAGTGAATGAGTTGGGGTAGAAGCACGCGGGCAACCTCCCCAGGCCCCTCGGGAGTCGGGAGCGCCCAGCCCCAGTCTCAGCCCCCTTCTCGGCGCCCTCTGAACCCTGACCCCTGTCCTCGTGCCAAGCCGGCACCCCTCGGATTCTTACACGCGCCGTTCCGGGATCCCGCACCATGCACCGTGTCTACAGAGCGCAGCTCAGCACGCAGCTGCTGCGGCCAATATCCCGACAGCGGAGCCACCGCAGCCGCCAACGCCGCCTCACCGCTGCCACAGCGGCAGCTGCGCCAGCCCTTGCATCCGCCGACTCCTGTCACTCAAGCCCGCAGGCCCCGCTCCACGGCCCCACGCCACGGGCCATTGGCAGCCAGAGAGGCCGCAATGTAATTTGACAGGGTAACCTGCACGTCACTCAGAGGTCTCCTCCCCCTTTCCCCGCCCTACTCGCTTAACCAACAGGAATCCCGGCTCTTTCCATTGGCAGAACGTCAGAGAGACGGTGGTTTTGATTGGTCATCGTTCAGAAGGTGGAGCCAAAGTAGCCCTAGTAGAAGTTGAATGGTGAAAAAAGAGGTCCGTCAAACAGAGTCCCGCCTTCTAAGATTGGCGCGTAACCTAGCAACGGGGGGGGTGGGTCGCCGAGATGGTTAACTGTGGGCAGAAAAACTTAACAGTTTGAGGAGCCGGTGAGTGACAGCGGGGGGGAGCCCCGTGTGCGCTACATGGGCGCGCTGTCCAGTGACCCCCACAGGGGTCCGCGCCCCACTACCCTGCCTCGGTCTAGGTCTCCTTTAGGCCTCCTGCAAGGACCACTGACATCCTCGCTTTGGTAGTTCTTTCTGCTGTCCTGTCCACTTGTCTTTCATGGCTCCGCCCCTCATCCCTCACTGGTACCATTTATGTAAACATACGACTGAAACTTGGTTGAAGGAAGAAGGTGAGTTGGTCGGTTAGGCACCCACTGTCCACTCTAGGGACCCCTATGTTCCGAGGTGAGCTTGCTCGGTGCAGAACTTCAGTGTATGCTTAAATTAAGCGTTTGTTGTTTGTGTTTAAGAAAGGGTCTCCCAGTGTAGCGCTGGTTGGCCTGGGACTCACAGAGATCCACCTGCCTCTGCTTCTGAGTGCCGGGATTAAAAGCATGAGCCACGGCACCTAGCCTAATTAGTTTTTTAATTGTTATTTGTTTGTTGAAGATTTGCGATTTGCTTTTTGCTTTTATTATTTTGATCACTGTGTTTGTAGGTGGAGTACGTGCTTGAGGGTCCAGGAAAGGGGTTTGGATTCCCTCAAGCCTTGAACTGAAGTTATTAGCAGGTCGTTGTGAGCAGATGGGCATAAGTGCTGTGGACTAAACTCAGGTCCTCTGAAAGAGCCAGACACACTCTTAAAAACAAAAAAACAGGGGCTGGAGAGATGGCTCAGCAGTTAAGAGCACTGCTTCCTCTTCCCGAGGTCCTGAGTTCAATTCCCAGCAACCATATGGTGGCTCACAACCATCTGTAATGAGATCTGGCGCCCTCTTCTGGCCTGCAGCAGACATATGGGCAGAACATTGTATACATAATAAATAAATAAATCTTTAAAAAAAAAATTTAAAAAAAAAAACAAAAAAAAAACAAACAAAAAAACTTAAAGATCTGCTTATTTTTATTGTATGTGTATCTGTGAGGCCTACATGTATGTATGTGCACAGCATGTGTGCTGTGTGCCGTAACTGAGGAGGCCAGAAGTGGGCATTGGATCCGCTGGAGCTGGAGTGACAGATGGTTGTGAGCCACTATGTGTAGGCTAGGAACTGAGCCTGGGTCCTCTGCGAGAGCAGCCAGTGCCATTAGACCCCCAAGCCATCTGTCTCTCCACCCTGGTTATTTTGATTGCACACAGAATTTTGTCTTTGATGTTAACTTTAAAATTTCGCTCATGTAATTTAAGACATGATTTCCTTGTGCGTTCTGGCAAGGAAGAAGAATTTCTTGGGAAGATTGAATGAGATGAGGCCATGAAGGGTTGCCATGGGCACAGCCACACAGTGACTGCTCAGCTAACTGCGGATTCCCCTGACGTGACTCATTCTACTGTAACTCTTTCTGTCAAAACATTTCCAAGGACATTTTCTTGGCCCATAGCAAAAACACTCGCATATTTAACATAGGTTTATTGAGTGCTTGTTGTGGATAGTGGAGGCGTCCTGAGCAGCAGGAAAATGCTGTTTTTTGAAGTGGGGGGCTGTAGAGATGTCTTTTCATTAAGAGCACACACTACTTTTTGCAGAGGAGCTTCAGGTCCCAACACCCACATCAAGTGGTTTGCAACTACCTTTTACACTCTGGTAATCGATATTTTTTAAAGATGAAGAATTTTATTTTTATTCTGTGTATCACACCTGCTTTTACATTGGTGTTAGGGAGCTTCAGATTTGAGCAGCAAGTATTTTACAGACTGAGCCATCTCTCTAGACTGTATTTTGTTTGTGTGTGTGTGTGTGTGTGTATTTGTGTGTGTGTTTTGAGACAGGGTTTCTCTGTGTAGCCCTGGCTGTCCTGGAACTAGCTCTGTAGACCAGGCTGGCCTCAAACTCAGAGATCTGCCTGTCTCTGCCTTCCGTGTGCTGGGATTAAAGGTGTGCGCCACCACATCCCACCCTACCCCAGCTTCTGGCCTATATTTTAAGTTCTATTTCATTTACTTAGTGTGTACATGTGTGTGCCTGTGTGTTAGTGCTGTGATAGAACTCACACATGCTAAACAGATGTACCACTCTTTTTGAAACACCACTGTTGAAGGCGCGGCAGGGCTGCATCCCTGGCACCCGGCCGCCCGCACGGCTAGCTTTATACCTGAAATAATTACACAGAAACTGTATTCTTTTAAACACTGCCTGGCCCATTATCTGTAGCCTCTTACTGGCTAGCTCTTACATATTAATCTAACCCATTTCTAATAATCTGTGTAGCCCACGAGGTGGCTTACCAGAGAAGATCTTAACCTGCGTCTGTCTGGAGTGGGAGAATCATGGCGACTCCTGACTCAGCT